CCCCTTCCCCGGGTCTCCAGCAGACCGGGGAGAGGAAGCAAAGCAGCGGAGCACGCGGGCAGCGGACAGCCCAGACGCGTCTGGGCTGTCTGCTGCCCGCGTGTTCCGCCGCTTTGCTTCCTCTCCCTGGTCTGCTGGAGACCAGGGAGAGGGAGGGTCCCGTTCGTAACTGCGGATCCGACGTAAGTTGGATCCGCGTAACTCGGGGACTGCCTGTAGTTAACTAGTCAATGGAATTTCCATCAACTTGTCAACAGGCACTTCCACTCTCCTCCATGTGCACTTCAAAGCCATGGATCCCAGGGTCAGCGGGGGACTCAGTTCCCTGTTGACCCCAGTTAGTTAACTAGTCAATGGAATTTCCATCAACTTGTCAACAGGCACTTCCACTCTCCTCCATGTGCACTTCAAAGCCATGGATCCCAGGGTCAGCGGGGGACTCAGTTCCCTGTTGACCCCAGTCTCCATGCTATGCTGCATGTCGCTAGGAGCTCCGAGTCAGGGAAGTGCTGGGGAGTCTTCAGCTGACCCCAGGCTCCACAGCAGCTTCCCCCTTGAAACGCACAGAGGCGGCGTTTTAAAGGGGCAGCTGTGTGTTTCAAAGGGGCAGTGGAGCCCGGGGTCAGCTGGGGACTCCCCAGCTAATTCCGGGCTCCATGCAGCATTTCCCTGGAACACGGCATCAGCTGGGGAATCCCCAGCTGATCCCAGGTTCCGGGGAAATGCAGAGGGGAGCCAAGGATCAGCTGGGGTGTCACCAGCTGACCCAGGGCTCCACGGCTGCCCCTTTGAAATGGATCAGCTGTGCAGCGGCTGTCCCTTTTAAACACTGCCTTGGGGTTTCAAAGTGGCGGCACCGCACAGCTGAGCAATGCTGCCATTTTGAAGTACTCCTTTCCCCACCCCTTTGCTGCCTCTCAGAGAGGCAGCAAGGGGGGAGGCGGTTTATCTCAACTATAAGCAAATGCTTATCGGCTAGTCAACTAGTTTTTAACATCCCTATGACCTATAGTACCTTTTCTGTTCATATAGAGGCTGTTTATCAATAAAAAGCATTCTTATTTGCTCACTCATGTATTCTACAAAATAAAAAAGAAAATAATGGATTCAGGAAAAAGTTTAAGAGAAATTAGGTGATCAGTAATATTTTGTTCAAAAAAATTAGCCAGTCACCCAGACCATTCTACAATAATGTGGTCATAAACTTCGCTCTTCAAGCCATTTTTTTTAATTTCTGTAAAGCATCATGTATAGTTACAGTGCTACAGACTGTAATCACAGGTCATACTGAAACATACCTCTTCAAAAACTGCAGCTTTATTTACTTTTTCTCTAGCAATATCACAGATTTTAAGGATCCCCAGAGCAAAAGCCTTCATGGCAGGATCTTCTATGAAGTCCGGATTATGTATATATAGGCAAGTAAACACTGTTTGTGCCAAGGAATGACCTTCTAACCATGTTATCTAGGGGGGAAAAATAGAAATATATACGTTATTTTGGAGTCCTCATGTTTTAGTATTATCATTTTTCTATCTTATCCTATCTAAATCAGTCTTCAAGGACACTCCATTTTGTGCCAACCTTCCATCCGCAAAAAGGACTAAATGAGAATCTCTCATGCCCATCAACATCTCTGGATTTGTTGGCTAGGGAGGTGGGTGACCAAGAGAAGGAAAGAGGGACATATGCTACAGTATTATGCACCACTTACCTCTACAAAGTTCCCATTTCCAGGAATAATCAAGAAAGTTCTGGTTTTTGTCACTGAACTTGAATTACATACTATACATGTAGCACTCATCTAGTGTTCCACTACACAAGTAACAAGTCACAACTGTAGTCTGCTACTAAAATCTGAGTAAGTCTACAATTTCAGGCCTAAACACAGCTTCCTTTCCCTCGCCTCCTGGTATAACACTGTGAAACTTGACATCAGAGAGAGAATACTTCAATAATCTAGGACAGGGGTTCCCAAACTTTTTGACACGGGGACCAGTAAATCCATTCACGAACTTTTGGAGGACCAGTAATGTTCATTTGCACATTTGCATATCCATTAATCAAATTATGAATATTCAAATAAGTTGTTTCTGGTCCTCCCAAATCTCCCAGTGCCAGCTTTAGCAAAGCTTTTGATATGGTCACCCACAATATTCTTGCCAGCAAGTTAAGGAATATGGATTGGATAAATGGGCTGTAAGACAGACAGAAAGCTGGTTAGACCAGGGTTTCCCAAACTTTTTACTTTAATTGGAACCCTTTTTTTCAGTTCTGCTTTTTGCAGCCCAAAAATATTAACACATGAAAAACAAACGAAGAAAATACCAGACATATAACATGTCTGGTATTTTCTCAGTAGGTAAGTTGTATTATTACTAGATGTATCAGTTTGTAGTTTCAAACTGCCTGGCTGGTAAATGTGCTCAGGCTGCATGAGTGTGTCTACCAACCAGATAGTTCGCAACTACTCGAGGGGTTTGTGTGTGTGTGGCGGGGGAGGGGGGTAACCACAGTAGAATCCCTGTGCCAGACTAACTCGTGCTTTGTGGGTGGGGGGGAGAGAGGAACGGGGTCGGGTCAGTTCCACTTCCTGCAGGCCAATTCATTCCTCCCCCCTGCTCCCCTTGCTGCGCCTCTGGCCAGCCCCACTTCCCCCAACCCCCTCCCTGGCAGCCAGTTCTCCCCCGCTTTTCCTCCCAATCTCCCTTGGCCAACCCCGCTGCCTGCGTCCAGCCCTCCTTCCAGCGGCCACTTTTCCCACCCCACCCACATATTCCCTGGCCAGCTTCCTGCCCGCAACCTCACACCCCCTGGCAGCCCTGCC